AACTCTACATTTTATTCAGATTTTCTTAACTTTAATGTCATTTTTCTGTACCAGGATTTAATTCAGGATACCATGTTATATGTAATCATCATGTCTCCACATTTTGCTCTGTGACAGTCTTTCAGACAGGAAAGACAAGGAAGATTTTCATGACCTTGACAATTTTCAGCAATACTGGTCAGGCATTTTGTAGAACGGCTTTTAATTGGGATTTGTCTGAACATTTTCCATAGGGTAAGACTGGGGTTTGGGTTTTGGGGAGGATGACCACAGAGATAAAGTGACATTCTCCTGACATTATATAAAGGATACATGCTATCGACATGATTTATCGCTGATATTATCTTTGATCACCGACCAATGTAGTGTTTGCCAGGTTTTTCCACTGTAAGGTTACTTCCCCACCCATCCCCTCCCCTTCCTACTCTCCTGTTGGGAAGTAAGTCACTAATGCAGTCTACTCTCAAGGTGGAGAGATTTAAGCTCCTCTTCCTGGAGAGGGAGTATCTGTAACCTACTTGGAATTCTTTGGTATCCCAACAATTGGAGGAATTCTTTTCTTTTGTTTGTTTATTATGGCTTGATACTGATTTTTTCCACAGTTCTATTTTTCCCTTCTAAATACAATATAACAGAGAAGATAAGGCATACCTGTTTTAAAAACTACCATATTTTATTGTATCTAAGATGTCATCACTTGGAAGACATATCCTAATTTGAGAAATGTGAACACGTGGGAAAATGTGCATGTTAAAATTGGTGCCATGCAGTATAATAGAAAGCACAATGGAATCATCTGGAGGACAGTTTCACAAATTCCTCTAGAAAGAATTTTTATTAACTGTATATATGGTGAAGAAATTCTTTCTTAAATCTTGGATTCAGTGATTTAAGATAATTTTTGTCCCGTTTCATAAGATTGGAAACATCACCCAAATTTAAATCAGTTTGAAATTCCTTATATGCATAATAAACTAAAGTAGATTTTAGGGTCATATCTTTATTTTGTAATTCTCTAAACTGTGTTTTGCACAAAGTAGATTGAGTTATATTTTATTTATGAGGTTAGAATGGTACAAAAGGTTTTGTCTTTTCAGTGTAAATTGGGTATAGTTCTTGTTAGTTATTCCGCTTACCTTAATACTTTTTATTTTCTTTTGTTTGGCTCGTTTTCTTATACATTGATTCCGTTTGTAGAAGTTCATAAAATGTTAAGAGTTGAACATCTTTAGAAATGATCTAATTCACTTCTCATTTAATAAGGCCGGTAGGAGACTTGGCATAGCTTGTCAGCTAGTAAGAACAAAGTGAGATTGGAATGTAGAACTTCTGATGCGAGGCCAGCATTTCCCCCCACTATACAACAATGCTTCGTTTTTATTTGACTAGGACATTTCTCTATAAATCAGCATTTTATGTTTTGAAATAGACTTTTGCATATGGGGAAAGCTAAATTGCTTTAGTTCTTTTCTCTTTGACTTTGGCCTAAGCTTTCCAATACAGCCAGAAAAATTTTCCCTATGTAACTTGTTTTCAGTGTTTTTATGATCTAGAGGAAACATAAATTCAGTTGTGGGTTGAACTTACTTACATATGTATTTCTTAAATAGCCACGAATTCTGATTCTCATTCTGTCTATTGAAGGCACCAGTAGCTTCAATAGATGTTAAAAAATCTCTTGGATCAAGTCTAAAAGATGTTGTATTAGTAATGTACCTTAAAGTTAAAGGATAGGCAGCCTGAAAGTGTTTGAAAGTCTTGAGAGAATTTATTCATCTCTAATATAGTGATTCTGCAGATAAGGAAATAGACATTTTTCTCTGTAGATTTCATGTGATGTTATCTCATATCCAGTGCATATTTTATTTATATTGTTTACATACAGAGGAGATTCTTATTCGGTGTGTATGTGGTTTCAGAGAAATAAAATAAAAGTGTAAAAACAACAGTGTCTGTGTTTTTAAGTATACATATGGCTTTGATGGTTTCTATCCATATTGTCAAGAAACAGTATTATATTGCTCCAGGACTGATCACTTTTGCATTTAAGGGATTGAACTCAAATATTGAAATTCCAAATTAACAAAAGGAAACTTTACATAATACTGTTTACAATTTTGTTTTGACAGCCATGCTATATTTATCACAACAAAGCCTTGGAATCTTGCAGATTTTTCTCTTCCTCTCTTATCTGCACATTTTTACAGATAACAGACTGTTCTGCATTTATTAATGAAGGCTTGCTCTGAAATAGTTTCCTTGTTTTCTTTCCTTTCCAAATGGATGCATTACCTGGTTTGACAGAATTAGAATTTGGGAAAGTGAAGTTTGTTTTTCATGCTGGAAATACCTTGCAGTGTCCTTGTTGATCTAGATCTGACTAATGTTTTAGTATAAGTTTGCAACAACAATCGTAGCAAGGACAAAAGCAGAAGTTAAACCTTGGAAAGTTTCCCACAAATTTAGTACCTTATATTTTCAGAAATAACATGGCCAAGTTGACCATTTGACAGCATTTTTCCCTAATGCATATTCAAGGATTTCTATGTGTCTGCTTAATAGAATTCTTTATACAACCCATGTTTCTCTAGGCCTTACCAGCTAGGAGTACATCATAATTGTCATGAAAATGTCTTTGTATGTCTATTGTGGGATTTGCATGCCTTTCACATGTGTTCATGAGGTTAGCACTGGCCATACAGTCACTGTTTTCTCTCCAGTTGGTAACTGGCTGCATGGCCCCAGCTCTCAAGCTGATGATCAGTGGAGGCAACTAGCCCAGTGCTCAGACTGTAGTGCTCCTACACAACTGGCTGCCTCCCTTTCTTTTCTTTTCTTTTCTTTTCTTTTTTTTTTTCTTCTGTCTTTCTTTTTTTTTCTTTGAGATGGAGTCTCGCTCTGTTTCGGAGTGCAGTGGTGCGATATTGGCTCACTGCAATCTCTGCCTCCTAGGTTCAAGGGATTCCTCTGTCTCAGTCTACCGAGTAGCTGGGATTACAGGTGCACACTACCACCCCCAGCTAATTTTTTCTATTTTAGTAGAGATGGGGTTTCATCATGTTGGCCTGGATGGTCTCAATCTTCTGACCTCATGATCCACCTGCGTCGGCCTCCCAGATTACAGGCCTGAGCCACCGCGCCTGGCCATCCCTTTCTATTTGGTAACATGGCTCCACTCTTTCTCTGCTGGGTAAGTGTCAGAGTAACACACTGCCAGCCACATGTTGAAGAGCAGCTAATGCCCTCCACCGCTATTTGTGCCAAGTTGTGTTCACCAGTTCCTTTTAGAGATTTCACTGATATGATTATGTAATTTTTAATTTGCCATTATATTTTAGTCTTTCCCTCCCACCTACCCCTGACCCCTGACTCCTAGGCTTCAGCTGACTCTAAGGACAATTTTAACAGCATATTACTGTGCTGTTTCAAAATCAGTCCTTAATTGCAAACTTTTATCTGTGTTCCTGCCTATCCTTTTCTTCAAGAAAAGTTCCATTAAGCAAATAGAACCTTCCCTTCCTCCTGGGCATGTCTGTATTTTCAAAGCATGCATTAGAACCATTGAAAAACCTTTACCAAAAATTAAACACTCTTTATTTTTGGAGGCATCATCACTTCATAGCAAATGTATTAAAATATACTTACAATCCAACCTAAAATTAAATGTAGTTTTTGATATAGAAAAATTTGGAAATATTTTTATAAATGTATTTTGAAATTTAATATTTTATGAGTAATGTGTAATTTTTGTGTTGGGATTCTTGGCCGCACATAAATACTATTTAATTTAAATTAGATGTTAGGTACCTTTGGGAATTCTTTTTAAATAAGATAAACTAATGTACAAACTTTTTGAATCTAATGAATTGTTTATAGTATAATAGTATAAATAGTATAATTTAAAGTTAATTGAGTCTCATAATACATTTGCAGGCAATTACTCATTTTAAATTTCTTTTTATATTTTAATATCAATAATAGTTTTTCACAGGATATTACAAACATTATATTTCCCCCAAATTTATCCATAATGCCTAGTAAATTAACTAGTAAATTTGTAATTTGCATTTGCTTTGGATCCTTTAGAATGTTGCTTAAAAATCTTCCCTTTTTTCTCTCCACTCCTCCCTCCCTCCTTCCCTCCCTCCCTCCCTCCCTCCTCCCTTCCTTCCCTCCTTCTTTCCTTTTTTTCTCCCTCTACCCCCCCCCCCCCCCCCCCTCCCTCCCCCCCCCCTTCCCCCATCCCCTCCCCTCCCCTCCTATCTTGAGAGTGGGACAAAGGGCAAAGAAAGGATTCACCCTTTTCTTTTATTTTCTTGTGTTTCTTATAAGCAACAGCTCAATGGGTCTTTTTATTTTTAATCCATTTAGCCACTCTACATCATTTGATTGCAGAGTTAAGTTCATTTACATTCAATATTATTATTGATAAGCAAAAACTTACACCTGTTATTTTGTTATTTGTTTTCTGTTTTTTCTCTTCCTTTTTTTCCCCCGTGAAGGTGTTTTCTTTGGTAGTATGATTCAGTTTCTTGCTTTTTATTTTTTGTGTATTTGTTGTATGTTTTTCTCAATTTGAGGTTACCATGAAGCTTGCAAGTTTTGTTTTTTTGATGTGTCTTTGGTCTTGATGTCAGGGTAATACTGGCCTCATGGAATGAATTTGTCAGTACTCTCACGCTTCTTTATTTTTCAGAGTAGTTTGAGTAGAATTGGTATTAGCTCTTTTTTTTCCTGATTATTTTTTCTTCATAAACTATATTGTAGTTATTTTTTCTTCTTTAAATGTTTGGTAGGATTCAGCAGTGAAGCCATAGGTCCTGGGCCTTTGTGTGCTGGAAGGTACTTTATTGTGGCTTTGATCTCTTTGCTTATTATTGGTCTGTTCAGATTTTGGATTTCTTTGTGGTTCAATCTTGGTAGGTTGTATGTGTCTAGAAATTTTTCCATTTCCTTTAGATTTTCCAACTTATTGGCATATAGTTGCTCAAGGTAGCCACTAATAATCCTTTGAATTTCTGCGATATCAGTTGTAAAGTCTCTTTTCTCACCTCTGATTTTATTTGGACCTTCTCTCCTTTTTAATTGGTTAGTCTGGCTAAAAGTTTGTCAATTTTGTTTAGGCTTTCAAAAACTAACTTTTAATTTCGTTGATCTTTTGTTTTTTGTTGTTGTTGTTTTTAGATAAGTAATATGCATTACATTTTTATTTTTTATTATACAAGTAATACTGATGGATAAAAAATCTTGCAATCTGTCAGTAAGACACGTAGGTTTAATCTTTCACCCCCCACAGTACTCTCCTCCAAAGGGAATATTTTAACTTTTTTTTTTTTTAAGTTTTTCTTTCTTTTTAATTATACTTTAAGTTCTGGGGTACATGTGTAGAACATGCATGTTTGTTTCATAGGTATATACATGTGCCATGGTGGTTTGGTGCATCCATCACCCCGTCATCTATATTAGGTATTTCTCCTAATGCTATCCCTCCCATAGCCCCCCAACCCCTGACAGGCCCTGTTCCTGTCTCTATGATGTTCCCCTCTCTGTGTCCACGTGTTCTCATTGTTCAACTCCCACTTATGAGTGAGAACATGCAGTGTTTGGTTTTCTGTTCTGTGTTAGTTTGCTGATAATGATGGTTTCCAGCTTCATCCATGTCCCTGTGAAGGACATGAATTCATCCTTTTTTATGGCTGTATAGTATTCCATGGTGTGTATGTGCTACATTTTCTTTATCCAGTTTTTTTTTTTTTGTTTATGTTTTTATTTTTTTTGAGACAGAGTCTGGCTCTGTTGCCCAGGCTGGAGTGCAGTGGCATGATCTTGGCTCACTGCAACCTCCACTTCCAAGGTTCCAGGAATTCTTCTGCCTCAGCCTCCTGAATAGCTGGGACTACAGACACATGCCACCACGCCTGGCTAATTTTTGTATTTTTTAGTAGATATGGGATTTTACCATATTAGCCAGGCTGGTCTTGAACTCCTGACCTCTTGATCCACCTGCCTCAGCCTCCCAAAGTGTATGGATTGCAAGCATGAATCACCATGCCTGACTGTATTGTTTTCTTCATTTCAATTTCATTTATTTCTGCTCTGATCTTTATTATTTTGTTTCTTATATTAATTTTGGGTTTGGTTTTCTCTGGCTTTTTTAGTTCTTTAAAATTCATCATTAGGTTATTTATTTGAAGTTTTTCTTAGTTTTTGATGTAGGCATTTACAGGTATGAGCTTGCCTCCTGGAGCTACTTTCACTGTATCCCACAGGTTTTGTTATGTTGTATTTCCATTGTCATTTGTTTCAAGAAATCTATAAAGTTTCTTCTTACTTTTTCATTGATCCACTATTCATTCAGGAGTATATTGTTTAGTTTTCATATGTTGTATAGTTTCTAAAATTCCTCGTGTTATTGGTTTCTAGTTTTATTCCATATTGTCCAGAGAAGAACCTTGATAATATTTTAATTTCTTGAATACCTTAAGACTTGTTTTGTGACCTAACATATGATCTATCCTTGAGAATGATCTTTGGGCTGAGGAAAAGAATGTGTATTCTGCAGCCATTGAAATGTTCTGTAAATTTCTATTAAGTCTGTTCTATAGCGCAGATTAAATATTATGTTTCTTTCTTGGTTTTCTGTCTGGAAGATCTGTCCAATTCTGAAAGTAGGGTGTTAAAGTCCTATTTGTTATTATATTGAGGTCTATCTCTCTCTTTAGCTGTAATGACGTTTACTTTATATATCTGGGTGCTCTACCATTGCATGCATATATATTTAAAATTGTTATATCCTCTTGCTGAATTGATCCTTTATCATTGTGTAATGACTTTTTTTTGTCTCTTTGTAGGGTTTTTGCCTTAAAATCTATTATGTCTGATGTAAGTATGGCTGTTCTTTTTTGCGGGGGGCATTCATTCAGTTGGAATATCTTTTATCATTCCTTTATTTTCAGTCCGCGTGTATCTTTATAAGTGAAGTATGTTTCTTGTAGGCAGATCACTGGGTCTTTCTTTTTTTAAAACCAATTTAGCCACTCTATGATATCTGATTGCAGAGTTTAGTCTATTTACATTCAATATTATTATTGATTAGGACTTATGCCTGTTATTTTGTTATTTTTCTGGTTGTTTTGTGATCTGCTCTTTCTTTTTTCCCTATGAAAGTGATTTTCTTTGGTGGTATGATTTAATTTCTTGCTTTTTATTTTTTTGTGTAGTTGTATGTTTTTTTCAATTTGCGTTTACCATGAAACTCGCAAATTCTATGTTATAACCCATTATTTTACAGTGATAACAACACTGATTGCATAATCAAGAAAACTAATAAAAACTCTACACTTTAACTTCGTCTTCCTGCTTTTTAACATCTGGTTGCTTTTATGTCTTATTGCACTGCTTATGTCTTGAATAGTTGTTGTAGTTATTATTTTTCATTGCTTCATCATTTAGTTTTTGTACTTAAAAGTAGTTTACACACCACAATTATAGCATTATAACAGTGTGTGTTTTTCTGTGTGCTTACAATTACCAGTGAATTTTGTACCTTCAGATAATTTCTTATTGATCATGAATATCCGTTTCTTTCTGATTGAAGAGCTCCCTTTGGTATTTCTTGCAGGATAAGTCTGGTATTGATGAAATTCCTCAGATTTTCTTTGTCTGGGAAGGTATTTCTCCTTCATGCTTGAAGGATATTTTTACTTTATATACTATTCCAGAGTAAAAGTTTTTTCCTTCAGCACTTTAAGTATGTCATACCACTCTCTCTTGGCCTATAAAGTTACCACTGAAAAGTCTGCTGTCAGATATATTGGAGCTCCATTGTATGTTATTTGTTTCTTTTCTTTGGTGCTTTTAGGATCCTTTCTTTATCCTTGGACTTTGGGAGTTTGATTATTAAATGCTTTAAGGTAGTCTTTGGGTTAAATATGCCTGGTGTTCTATAACCTTCTTGTATTTGAATGTTGGTATCTTTTTCTGGGTTTGGGCAGTTTTCTGATATTATATTTTTGAATAAACATTCTATCACTATCTCTTTTTCTGCCTCCTCTTTAAGACCAATAATTCTTAGATTTGCCCTTCTGAGGCTATTTTCTAGATCTTGAATGCATGCTACATTGCTTTTTACTCTTTTTTCTTCTGTCTTCTCTGTGTATTTTTTAATAGCCTGTCTTCAAGCTCACTAAGTCTTTCTTCTGCTTGATCAATTCTGGTATTAAGGTACTCTGATGCATTATTCAGTATGTCAGTTGCATTTTTTTTAACTCCAGAGTTTCTGCTTTATTATTATTATTTCAACCTGTTTGTTAAATTTATCTGATGGAATTCTGAATTCCTTCTCCAAGTTGTCTTGAATTTCTTTGAGTTTCCTTAAAGTAGCTTTTTGAATTCTGAAAGGCCTGAAAGGTCACATATGTCTGTGTTTCCAGGATTGGTCCCTGGCTCCTTATTTAGTTTGTTTGGTGAGGTCATACTTTCTTGAATGGTATTGATGCTTGCGGGTGTTTGTCAGTGTCTGGGCATTGAAGACTTAGGTATTTATTGTAGTGTTCACAGTCTGGGCTTGTTTGTACCTATCTTTCTTGGAAAGGCTTCCCAGGCATTTGAAGGGATTTGGACCCCAAGCCCAATAATGCTGTGGTTCTTCCAAACTTACAAAGGTGCAGTCTTGGTGGTATTATATAGAATCTAGGATAATTCTTTGGATTATTAGGCAGAGACTCTTATTGTCTTCCCTTACTTTCTCTCAAATGGAGCTTCTCTGTCTGTGCTAAGCTGCCTGCAGCTGGGGGTGGGATAACCTAAGTACCCCTGTGGCCACCACTACTGGGACCACACAGGTCAGACCTGAAGCCTGCACAGCACTGGGTCTCACTCAATGCTTACTGTAACCACTAACGGGCTACTGCCTATGCTCATTCTAGTGTTCTACAATCGGTAGTTTGGGAAGCCAGCCAGGTTTATGTCCTTTCCTTCAGAGTGGAAAGTTCTCCTGGTTCCTGAGTAGTTTCAGAGATGCTGTCTGGAAGCCAGGGATTCTAGTAAAAAAAAAACTTTAGAAATCTGCCTTGTGTTCTGTTTTACTGCATTTGAGCTGACCCTCAAACCACAAGACAAAGTCCTTTCCACTTTTCCCTCCTCTTTCCACAGGCAGAGCCTTCTCTTTCTGTGGCCACCACCACCACCACAAGCCCACAGGAGTTACTTCCAGGCCACTGCTGATGTTCACGTAAAGCCAAAGGGCTCTTCAGTCAGCTTGTGGTGACTGCTCCCAGGCCTGGAACTCACCCTTCAGGGATGTTGGCTTTCCTCTGGCCCAGGGAAGGTCCAGAAATTCTGTTTAAGAATCTAGGCCCAGACTCAGGGACCCCAAGAGTCAGCTTGATACTCTACCTCACTGTGGCTGAGGTGGTGGCTAATGTGCAAGAAAAATTCCCTTTACATTTCCCTGTGCTTTTCTCAGGCAGAAAGGGATTTTCACCATAGTCCTCACAGCTGGGAATGTTCTGCATCTCATCTAAAGCCAGCACGTCTCAGTCTCACCCAAGGCCCATGGCATATTACCTGGATATTGCCTTTGGTTATTCGGGACCAAGGGCTCCTTAGTCATCAGATGATGAATCCTGCCAGGACTTGGTCTTTCCTTTCAAAGTAGCAGGTTCCCTTCTGGCAGGTTCCCAGGGTGTGTCTAGAAATGTTGTCCAGGAGCTAGGGACTGGAATGGGGGTCTGATATGGTTTGGAACTTTGCCCCCATTCAAATGTCATGTTTAATTGTAATCCTCATTGTTGGAGATGGGGCCTAGTGGGAAGTGATTGGATTATGAGGGCAGTTTCTTATGATTTAACACCATCCGCCTTGGTGCTATTGTCACTATAGTGAGGGAGTTCTCATGAGATCTGGTTGTTCAAAAGTGTGTAGCACCTTCCCCCTTTCTCTCTTCTCCTGCTCCAGCCATGTAAGATGTGCCTGTTTCCCCTTTGCCTTTTGACGTGATTGTAAGTTTCCTGAGACCTCCTCAGAAGCTGAACAGATGCCAGCATCATGCTTCCTGTACAGCTTGCAGAACCATGAGCCAATTAAACCTCTTTATAAATTTTTTAGCCTCAGCTATTTCTTTATTGCAATGCAAGAATGGCCTCAGGACTCTGCCTGGTGCCCTATCTTGTTGTGGGTGAGCTGGTATTCTACATCCAAGACAAAGTCCTCTTTACTCTTTGCTTTCTTCTTCTCAAGCAGGAGGAAGGCATCACTTTCATTGCTGTGAACTGTGCTGCCTGAGCTTGTGGGAAGAGTGGAGCAAGCACCCCCTTTTTCACTCTTGTGTCTCCCTAGGTCATGTGCCACCCTAGTCTACTGGCTCTAAGCCCAGCACTAGGAGGAGTTTCAGTCCTTGTGTCATAGACTGCTTTTAAAGCTTACCAAGGACCCCAGAGCTCTTTGGCCCATGGTGGTGATGTTTGTCAAGAAACTCAAGTTCTGACCACTGGTAGGTGATTCCTCTCTGACGAGGGCTTGTCCAACTATTCCCTTTTTGGGCAGGAGCTGGCTAACCCCATCGTGACTTTGCCCTCTGCTGTGTTAGGGCATAAGTTCAATCTTCCTTCAAGACAGAAGGTGCCCAGCCACTGTGCTCTTCCACCCCCTTGTACACAGATTCTATCTCTGTGCCAGCCAGTTACTACCTGGAGATTGGGGAGGGTTAGCACCAGCAATTCAAAGCTGTCTTTCCTACCCTCTTCAGTGCCTCTTTCAGCAAAGTGAAGTTAAAACCAGGTGCTGTGATTGCTTAATTTTTTGTTCTTATGTCAGTGTCAGTGCTTTTTTGTGTGTAGTTAGCGTTAAATTTTGGTATTCCTGCTGGAGGGACAAGTGATGGTGGCTTCTATTTGACCATTTTGCTCCTCTTTTGAATATTTAATTTTAGATGCTGGTGATGTTGTGAGGGAGTTTCAATGTCAGGATCTGATGCTGAGGCAGGGAAGGGCTATGTACTGCTTTCACAGAGCAGATGTTTAGAGAGAGCCTGCTGTGTGTCAGGTATTGTCCTGAGAGATTTCAGCAGTGAATAAAACTCCCCCAAATTTCTGCCCTCATGAAACTTATACTTTATTGATAGTTAGGCAGCCTTGCCTCCTGTATATTGACATTTTCTTTCAGGAGGGGTGGTGGGAACATTCCCGTCATGCCCAGATTGCCAACTACTGCTTATGCCAATAAGTGGGAAAAACAACTTTGCTGTGAGTCAGTAGTGCTCCCTGACCCTTTCACCTTTATTTATTTTTCTCCAGGACATTATTTGTTGCCCTTTCAAATTCATTCCTTTTTTTTTGTCTTTTAGCAAGCCTAAATGTTTTATTTAATATTTCTCCAGAAAAAGTAATTATAGACTTATTCTACCATTTTTATATCCAATCAGAAATTTGCCTGTAGCAGCTCTTTTTTTCCTTTTTCCATTTCATTTCCAAAAAAGGTATAAAATTGATTAACACATCAACCTTAAAAATATCTAAGAATATTTAAGTTTTATTTCTTTTTATCTTCCTGAGAAATTGATGAAAGAAAGTTAAAGTGAAAAGTTTTAACTAATTTATATTACGACTCAAATGCCCAGTTACATAGGTTGTAGTTCCTACATGATTGGATAATTTCTAAAATTAGTTGTTTATTTTTTTTAATTTTTATTTTTCAATTTTATTTTTCCATAAGTTATTGGGGTACAGGTGGTATTTGGTTACATGGTTAAGTTCTTTATTGGCGATTTGTGAGATTTTGGTGCACCCATCACCTGAGCAGCATATACTGCACCCTATTTGTAGTCTTTTGTCCCTTGCCCCAGTCCCAGTCTTCCCCCTAAGTCCTCAAAATCCATTGTATCATTCTTATACCTTTGGGTTCTCATAGGTTAGCTCCCACATATCAGTGAGAACATACGATGTTTGTTTTTCCATTCTTGAGTTACTTCACTTAGAATAATAGTCTCCAGTCTCATCCAGGTCACTACAAATGCTGTTAATTCATTCCTTTTTATGGCTGCATAGTATTCCATCTGTGTATATACCACAGTTTCTTTATCTACTTATAGATTGATGAGCATTTGCATTTATTCCACAATTTTGCAATTGTGAATTTTGCTGCTATAAACATGCGTGTGCAAGTATCTTTTTGAATAATAACTTCTTTTCCTCTGGGTAGATACCCAGTAGTGGGACTGCTGGATCAAATGGTAGTTCTACTTCTAGTTCTTTAAGGAACTGCCACACTGTTTTCCATAGTGATGTACTAGTTTACATTCCCACAAGCAGTGTAGAAATGTTCCCTGATCACTGCATCCACACCAATATCTACTGTTTTTGATTTTTTGCTTATGGCCATTCTTACAGGAGTCAGGTGGTATCACATTGTGGTTTTGATTTCCATTTCCCTGATCATTAGTGATGTTGAGCACTTTTTTTTATATGTTTGTTGGACATTTTGTATATCTTCTTTTGAGGATTGTCTATTCATGTCCTTAGCCCACTTATTGTTGGATTTTTTTTTTTCTGATTGATTTGTTTGAGTTAGTTGTAGGTTCTGGATATTTGTCCTTTGTCAGATGTATAGATTGTGAAGATTTTCTCCCATTCTGTAGTTTGTTTGTTTACTCTGCTGACTGTTCCTTTTTCTGTGCAGAAGCTCTTTAGTCTGATCAGGTCCCAGCTATTTATCTTTGTTTTTATTGCATTTGCTTTTGGGTTCTTGGTCAGGAAATCCTTGCCTAAGCCAATGTCTAGAAGGGTTTTCCAATGTTATCGTCTAGAATTTTAATAGTTTCACGTCTTAGGTTTAAGTCCTTAATCCATCTTGAGTTGATTTTTGTATAAGGTGAGAGATGGGGATCCAGTTTCATTCTCCTACATGTGTCTTGCCAATTATCCCAGCACCATTTGTTGAAAAGGGTGTCCTTTCCCCACTTCACGTTTTTATTTGCTTTGTCGAAGATCAGCTGGCTCTAAGTATTTGGGTTTATTTCTGGGTTCTCTATTCTGTTCCATTAGTCTATGTGTCTGTTTTTATATCAGTACTGTGCTGTTTTAGTGACTATGGCTATACTTTATAGTATATTTTGAAATCAGGTAGAGTGATGCCTCCAGATTTGTTCATTTTCCTTTGTGTTGTTTTGGCTATGCAGGCTCTTTTTTGGTTTCTTATGAATTTTAGAATTGTTTTTCTAACTCTGTGAAGAATGATGGTGGTATTTTGATGAGGATTGCATTGAATTTGTAGATTGTTTTTGGCAGTATGACCATTTTCAGAGTATTTATTCTACCCCTCCATGAGCATGAGTTATGTTTCTATTTGTTTGTGTTGTATATGATTTATTTCAGCAGTGTTTTGTAGTTTTCTTTGTAGAGGTCTTTCAACTCCTTTGTTAGTTATAATCCTAAGTATTTTATTTTTTATTTTTGCAGCTATTGGAAAAGGGATGAATTCTTGATTTGATTCTCCACTTAGTCACTGTTGGTATATAGGAGAGCTACTGATTTGTGTACATTAATCTTGTATCCAGGAACTGCTGAATTCTTGTATTAGTTCTAGGAGCTTTCTGGGAGTCTTTAGGGTTTCAAGACAAACGATCACATTGTGAGCAAACAGTGACAGTTTGACTTCCTTTTTATCACTTTGGATGCCCTTTATTTCTTTCTCTTATCTGATTGCTCTGGCTAGGACTTCCAGTACTATGTTGAAGAGGAGTGGTGAAAGTGGGCATGTTCCCATTCTCAGAGGGAATGCTTTCAACTTTTCCTTATTCAGTATTATATTGGTTGTGGGTTTGTCATAGATGGCTTTTATTACATTAAGGTATGTTCAGATTCAGCCTTTAAGAGTATAATGTGAAAGAGAATGTCTGGCTGTTTGAGTTTGTCTATGTTGCTGAACAGTGTGAATCTGGGTTTACTTCAGAGCTGTTGCCAGAAAGGAGCAGTAATTACACTTGAAATAACAATTGAAATGGACTTAAAACTTCATAAAAAAAGAAAGCCTTTATGTCTGAGTGCTAGTTAGAAATAAAAGTTATGTAATGAGAGAAAGGAAAAGCTAAGAACATTTGAATACATAACAAAAAGCAATTCTTTATTTGTAAATGATAGAAAATGGAGCAGATTCCTATAGCCATGTATCAGAACAATAGGCATAACGTCACATTGCTTCAGAAGCAATCTTTATATACATCTATTCCTTTATTATTGCTAAGGTTGCTTTCTGATTTCACAGGTACTCAGGTGATTGAAGATATAGGGAATGTGGATTTAGATATGGAATAGTAATACTTTCAAATCTGGGAGGCAGCAACAAGGCTCTCCTGTGTACTCACTATGTAGATTTGGTAAGTCATGACCTTCATCAACCTCAGGTTCCTTATCAGAAAAATGAAGTAAATCAGGTGCTTTTTAGGATTCCTTATAGGTTTTAGCTTTAAATTTCCATGACGTCATTTGGGTTTTGATGTGAATATAGTTGAGCTGCTGGTAGTGCACATTTTAGGCAATTCTTTGAGTCTAATTGAACAATTTCTTTATTAGAATGGACTTAAATATACACATACAGACACACATATATGGATATATAGAACCTTGTGAGTTTTTATGGTCAGTAAATTCCATTCAGCAAATAATAGGGGTTGCTTTCTGAATTTAAAAAGATTTAATTCAGATACTGTTAGAATGAGTACCTTGTGAAGCTTTCTGTTTTCCTAAAGGAAAAATAATGTTAGTATTCATAAGCACTCATGCTTTAAGTACCATTTATAGCATTATTAGTATTCTAGAAACTGTGATAGGTACTTATGGACCTTATCTTATTTAGTACTAATGACAGCTTTTCAAGATAGATACTATTATTGCCAACTTCAAATGAGGAAATTGAGATGGAGAGTTGAGGTAACCTACCCAAGGCTACTCTGCCTGCAAGTTAACAGAAACACTTAGGATTCAAATTAAGGTCTGACTTGTTCCAAAACTGTGGCTCTTTTGTTCTAAAGGTTTTAGGAATATATTAAAAAATAGTCAAAATCCTGTCTTGAAGGAGTTTCAGATTAATAGGTGAGACAAGAAAGACTAATATATGGTTCAATATGAAAATGTCACTGAAATGTCAAATTTATAAAAGTGTGTTGGGGAGATTGTACTCAGGCTAGACAGAAATCTCAGAGGTGAGAAAGGGTGTGTTGGAGAGGAAAGTACAAGAAATCTAGGCAGTTCTGAGTGCCGAGTACTTAGTAGATGCAGGAATATGAACTTTAGGAAAATAATTTTTTGAAAACTTCATTTTTAGAGCGTTGGTATGGCTAGGGTTGATTCATACCTGTCCACTTAAAGCTGTTGTGTGAAGTGATATCTAAGGAATATATAATGATGGCACAGGCAGGAACTTTTACTTGCTTATTCACTTGTTCATTTATTCATTCATTTTATTTTTCAATACATTTTAATTATATATTCACCCAATATATTATTTCATATATATTAGTTTGATACATTCAATACATTGAATACTTACTGTAAATGTTTAATGTGTTCAGTAACGACAATACAAAGAAACAGAGGCATACCTCATTTTCCTGTGCTTTGCTTTGTTGCATTTTGCAGATACTGCATTTTTTAAAAATAGAAGGTTTGTGGCAACCCTGTGTTGAGCAAGTGTATCCACTCCATTTTCTCAGCACCGTGTGCTCACTTCCTGTCTCTGTCACATTTTGGTAATTCTTGCAATATTTCAAAATTTTTCATCATTATTACCTTTATTATGGTGATTTGTGATCAGCAGATGTTACTACTGTAATTGTTTTGGGGACCAAAAACCAAGCCCATTTGAGATGGTGAACTTAATCCACAAATGCTGTGTGTGTTCTGACTGCTCTACCAACCAGCCTTTCCCCATCTATCTCTCTCTCCTTGTGCCTCCCTATTATCTGAGGCACAAAATTGTTGAAATTAGGTCAATTAACAACCCTACGATTACCTCAAAAATGTTCAAATAAAAGGAAGAGTTGCAAGAGCTGCACGTCTCTCACTTTAAGTAAAAAGCTAGAAATAGTTAAACTTAGTGAGGAAGGTATGTCAAAAGGTAAGACAGACTGAAAGCCGGGCCTCTTGTGCCAAATAGCCAAGTTGTAAATGCAAAGGAAAAAGTTTGTGAAGGAAATTAAAAATGCATTCTAAAGATTTAAAAAATAATACCAGTGCTACACATATTCTTCTAGAAAAAGTAAAGAAAAGAGAAGTCATTCTACAAGATCAGCATTACCTGATATCAAAATTAGGCAGAAACATTGCAAGAAAGAAAAACTATATCCCTGATGAACATTGTCATGGGCTGAATGCTGACCCCCCCCCAAAAAAGATACATTCATGTCCTAATCCCCAGAATCTTTGAATAGTACCTTATATGGCAAAAGAGTGAATGTTACTTTATATGGTAAATGATGTGATCACATTATAAGGATCTCAAGAGAATGAGTTTATCCTGGATGATCTGGTTGGGCTCTAACTGCAATCATATATGTTTTATATGAAAGAGGCAGAGACAGTTTTGGCACAGGCACATAGAGGAGAAAATGATGTGAAGCAAAGACTGGAGTGCTTATACCACAAGCCAAGGAACTCCTGGAACCACTAGAAGCTGGAAAAGGCAAGAAAGAGATTCTCTCTTATAGCATCTCTTGGTAGGGTGAGCAGCCCCGTTGACAACTTGATTTTGGATTCATGGCCTCTAAAACTGTGCGAGAATAAATTTCCATTGTTTTAAGCCATGAAGGTTGTGGTAATTTATTTTAGTAGCCCTTGGAAACCAACAGAAATGTAGGTACTAAAAATTTTAACAGAAGCATATATGAAAATTTTAATACATGTTTTCTATTTTATTTTATAATTTTATCTCTATTATTTTTTTCTTATTGGTTTATTTTGGCTTTAACTTGCATTTTGTTTTCTAGTTTTTAAAGGTGGGAGCTTAGCTAATTGATTCCAGACCATTCTAATTTTCTAATATAGGCCTTTCGTGATATAAATTTCCCTTTAAACACTGCATTAGTTGCATACTGCAAGTTTGATATGCTGTGTTTCATTTTTATTCAGTTCAAAATATTTTTTTTTCTTTGAGATGGTGTCTTGTTCTGTGGCCCAGGCTGAGTGCAGTGGTGTGATCTTGGCTCACTGCAACCTCTACCTTCTGGGTTCAGGCGAGTCTACTGCCTCAGCCTCCTGAGTAGCTGAGACTCCAGGTGCCCCCCACCACACCTGCTAAGTTTTGTATTTTTAGTAGAGATGATGTTTCACTGTGTTGGCCAGGATAGTCTTGATCTCCTGACCTCATGATCCACCCACCTTGGCCTCCTAAAGTGCTGGAATTACAGACGTGAGCCACTGTACCCAGCCCAAAATAATTTTTAATTTCATCTTTTAAAATCTAAGTTGTTATAGGTTGAATATGTGAGTGGGAGGAGAAGGTGGAGTTCAGAAGGTGCCCAGGTTTCTAATTAAGAGAGTAGTGGTACCGTAACTGGAATAGGAACACTGGAGGAGAAACATGTTTTGGGGTTAGATTATGGGATAAAAGTACCTATGAGATAGTGCTTCAATTTCTGGAAAGGTTTCTATTTGATTAATTCCATTTTAAGCCATGTGGATTCATTTTTAATCTTATTTATGTTCTTTGAAAAAATTAACACTTCTAACCCTTTGTCTCTTAAACAAGAGGAAATATATTCATCTTAGTTTAGTGAGTATTTAATAAGAATAATGTACATGTTACTGGACCCAGGAGAGTCCAGTTTTGGGTTATTTCATATTCTCAGTATACTCTTCATGCTGCATCTTCTTGTCATTTGCTGCATTTTGTACCCATATCTATCTGGTTGAAAGAATAGGATCTGGGGCCAGACTGCCTGGA